GCCTGGTTGAGCCCGCGCGGGCTGGTTTGTTAGTAAGAAGCTGAACTCGACCAATGATCCTACGTAAGACTGGCCTGGCATTAACGTACAATGTGACAATACCAGAAAGGAAATCGTACGAGAATCCTACGTAAGTCCAAGTCCTGGGCTTAAAGAACCTCTTTCGAGTCACGACAGGAATTTTCTTTCGTCTGTTTCGGCTGACAATGAGCGCTTCAATTCGATCCAAGCCGATGATTCTTAACCCAACCCCCACTCCACGTGGATCGTATTGGAACACCGGCCCTCCCCTTCCTTCATTGTACACCCATGCTATGCAAGTGATTGAACGTCTGGTGTCCAGTCTTCCATTATTTGGGAACTCTATGTAACTGTTAGGACTGCCAGAGAATCGCAATGCTGTGTCCGGTTTGCCGTCAGGGCCTGGAGCGATATTTACACTCGAAAGCTTTCCTGGAAGATTCTTGGTAGGGCTGAGGTCACGTGCACCAGAAGTAGCGTCCAGTGGGTACACGGCCACCAAGTTACGGATAGCTGTTTGAACAGAGGACAAAAATATCTTACACATTTTCCTAAAGAAACGTTTTTTTAAGACTCTTACAACTGTTATGATGATGTAGAAAAAAAAAAGGAAGGAAACGAGACTTACCCGGTGTAGGTTTGGTAACAGGTAAAATTGGCTTTGTGGGTTTGACTTTACCTGAAACAGAAAATACGCTCGATAAAAACTTGTCTAAAATGAACATTTAAACTAACATTGTTTCACATAATTTTGTTTTAATTCAAACATTTTAAACATTTTCTTTACGAAGGAACTCTCTTCAAGGCCATAATAAGGCGCTAGAAGTAATAATACTTGCAGTAAAATCGACTGCACCGGAAAAGAGAGAAACTCTATTGCTCTTAAAATGTTGACTGGCGACTCATTCAGACTCATTAGAGATACTATTTCCGAAAATACAGTGTAGAGAGAGTGAAAGTAACTCTATTTTCCTTGAATAAAATTTAAAATCAGATTAAATAGGTCTGCGACAAACCTGGTCTGAAGCAGCTCTTTCTCGCGGCTCGGATTTGCCGGCTTGTTAGGGCTTCATTGTAAACTTGAACACAAGTTATTTTCCCCCGGAAGAAGCGACGATCTCCCTTTCGTGCACCCATTCTAACGGGATAATTGGTGGCAAGCTTTATTCTGCCGAGATTTCTTTCAGCTGAGATTTTGGAATCCACGAACAAGCGTGCGTACCCAGTGTTCTTATCGTATGAAGCTGCAAGCCAGTTCCAAGTGCCCGGTTTCACTCTGTTCGTAGCCACAGGCCGTGTAAACTTCTTGGACCTTTTCACAAAGCGTGCGAAGAGAACATTCTTTCGAACCATCCAGAAATGCACTCCAAATCCTTTGGGATTAAAATTGAAGATCGGTCCAGCGCTCTCCGGGTTTACATATGCAAGAATGGTTATAGAATCCTTTGCATCTAATCGTCCGTTGTTCGGAAACTCGATGAAGCTATCGGGACGGCCACGGAACTTATAAGCACTACCACGCTGGCCGTCAGGACCTCGGGCTGGTAAGGCACCCACGATTTTTCCCGGACGGTTTTTCGTTGGGCTTATATCTCGGGCACCATATTTAGACTTCAAGGGGAAGAATGCCATCGCAGGAGGTAGAGCTGGTAACATGCAACAACAACAGGATCATTTTCAGAGTACAAAAACTTTAAAACAAGAAGATAAAAGGCTTAACAGTCTGAAATGCGGACGGAGTGCAGGAGGTTGGAACGCTACTGAATTGGTCATACCGTGTTTATACCAAGATAAAAACCTTCCCTTGCAAGATGAAGACATTATGTTTGGATTAAATTTTATAAAATCTAGACTTCAAAATAGATCAGTTCAAATAAGAACTCCTGGGTGGTATCCGTCGATTGCTCTCCTACCTGGAACAGGGGCTGTTGGTGGTCTGGTGGGAGTCGGTTGCCCTGGAAACAGAATAAAAAACATTAACCCGCGATATGTATGGTATAAAACAACCAAATGCATTTCTGTGGCTAACACTGCGCAAAATCAAAGTAATCTCTGGTATTCGAGTATGGAATACGTGATCGTGGTGCTTTAGAATCCTAGGATATTCGAGTCGCGCACAATACCCCGCGCACACCTGGAGTATTCGTCTTGACTATGCTCGAATACTTCGCTGGTATATTTTTAAAAGTACACTATGCGTGTCTCGTACTCCTAAAATATTCTGGAGTATTGCAGCACACCGTATCTTTAAAAGCTGTTGTACCAAAAAAATGTGTCTGGTTACTTTATATTCTATAACTTAGCCCGCATATCTACATTCCCATCCTACTTTGATGAAGAACTTAAGAATTTGAATTAAAGCGTGTGTCCTCAGTCTTCACTGTTAAGACTGACAGAGATAAAATATTTTTGAATTTAGCGTAATATGGCCTTTCTCAAATCCAAGACTATGAGGGTGGGTGAGCTGAAAATAATGGTTTAATTGCAGCTTGGAATGAGCAGCATCAGGACAAAATGTCAGGTTGATTGTTGTTCAATATTCAATTGGTTTAAGTGTATATCTTACGTCGAGGTTGGTGATTAGTACCTGGTTTAAAGCAAACATTCTGTACATTCTTTATCTGGGGCCCAGTCAAAGCATCGCTGTAAACTTGAAGACACGTGATACTGCCACTGAATGGTCGCCGACCACGGGTCAACCCTCCAAGCCTAAGAGGTTTCTTTGTAGCAAGCCTGATCCAGCCGAGCTTCTGAAAAGCAATGGGTCGAGAGTTCCGCCAAATAGTTCCCATTCCCGTTCGCTGGTCATAGGTGATGGCTAAGTAACTCCATTGTCGCAAGGTAACTCCTCGTCGTCTTGTTTTTACAGTTTTGGTTGGTCGACCGTTACGGCGGACAAAACGAGCGTACAAAATATCCGGCGATCGAATGCCGAAAGTCACCCCTCTCGGTCTGAACTCAATTATTTTCCCTGGCGCGTCCGGTTTGACCCAAGCAGTCACTGTTATGGAATTCTTGGTGTCCAGTTTCCCACTGTTCGGAAACTCCACATAGCCGGTCTTAAATTTCGGGAATTTGATGGCTCCACCAGGCTGACCATTAGGTCCACGAGCGGGTCGAACACCATATATTAGTCCTGGGCTGTTCCTCAGGGGACCAATGTCTTTTCCTCGAGTCTTTTGGTTCAGTGGGAAAATAGCAACAGCCTTCGGTGGTTCTGTTGATACAGAAATTTAATAAATTCGAAATGGGGTTAAACGTGAACTCTGGAATCATGTGCGATATGTTAATTGCTCATGTACTTACTTGGTTTCTTAGTGGGTTTTTTCGGTCCCCGTTCACTGCCTCCTGCCTCTGCGGGGGAAAACAAGAGAGTCATATAAAAATCTGACTCTATTCATCTTACTAAAAGTAATGTGCGTTTTTATGGTGATGATTAGAATCCAACATGTATTTATGAAACGACAGTCGTTTGGTAACACTCTTTGTTGCTAATATTAGGAGACTCACTTTTAGTTCGCATTGTACTTACTTCTTCCACTAATTTACCAATGACAAATGTTACGTCACGTCATTGGGCTACAGGTTTGCCCATTTTTGATAGACTGTCTGCTGACACTCCTTAATTTCTCCTTCAAAATTGCCTCTGAAATCAGGAAAGGCTTACCAACCTGCGCATGCTTTGTCTTTAATGCGTTTCACTATAGTTCCCAGGCCTCTAAAGTTGGTCTTGTACGAGTGCTGAGGATCTTTAGCTACTGTGAGAATCTCACTGAGATCAGCATTAGTTCCAACGCCGATACTGAAGATATTTACTCCCATAGCAACAAGCTGTTGTACTGGGCCAAGCACTCGGTCAGACGATTTACCCGCAGTTAGGTAAACCAACGTTTTCTTGCCCTTGCTAGCGGGGAAGAGCCGCCTTAATGCAAGGGTCAACGCTTTTCCTGATAGGCGTGCTCCACCGTCGGGCTGTAGCAGGCGGGTGATACGTTTTATTTGCGTCGGCTTGTTAAACTGACCAAAGCTTATCTTGACTGCAGGGCGATACGAGTTCGTAATTAAACCAATCCGGACATTCTGACTGGAGACAGTAAAGGAATCCACCAATTCCAAGACGAATTTCTTTATGTAGTGGAATACTGTCTTAAGGCCGCCGGCTGCGTCGATTACGAAGCCAATGTCCATCTTTACTTTGCACACTGTAGAACAATCGATGGTTTTTTTTAATTCATAGCATTGTTTAAATAATTTCATAATTACGTCTCAGCAAAATTTGTCGTTAAATGATATTAACGTTTAGTCTGCTTGGTTTTACTTGTCCTGGCTTTTTTCCACAAAAACCATGTGCGAACAATATGTTGGTATGTTTAGAGACATAAACAAAGCAGGATCTTTGGTAACTATACTACTGTTAGAGGAGAAGGCTACCAAAAGCAAGGGAATGCGACGAAATTAATTTTTGTAAATGAAGCTGAACTTAAAAGTTGAATCACAACTGAAGAGAAAAAGAAAACAATAATACCTTTGTTAGGCGCTGTTGTGGCAGCAGGTCCTGTTGTGGGGCCAGATGGTCCGACTGGCCGCGTAGGAATAGTTGTTGGTTTCTTCACGACAGTAAAGCCTCAAATATAAAAATGAAAGCAGTTATTTCATGTAGAAAGTCGTTTTTATATTCTGCGTTACAATTTAATAAACTAGTTCTTTCACGAGGTTATCGTTTTGACACAAACAAGACGTAGGAACAGAACAAGTGCAAGCATTTTAGTTTTTTGAGTTGTAAGGACACAGATGTTAAATGACAATAAAAGTTGATGCAAAGCAAAGATAGGAAAGGTTAAAGATTGTGGAACGTTCCCTTGAAATGCTGGATTATCACGTTACCTGGTGGAATGGTGATACAAGGCTTTCCGGTTGTTGGCTTTGCACCTCCAGGCTTTGTTGGGCCGCTTTTTGGCGTTGTTTTCGCTCCTGGGCGCATGACACATCCTGGACCTCCAGGTCCACCCGGTCCTCCAGGGCCTCCTGGGCCTCCAGGACCACCCGGTCCTCCGGGGCCTCCTGGTTGACCAGGTGGAGCCGTTTTCGGGCCTCCAGGACCGCCTGGACCACCTGGTCCTCCTGGTCCCCCGGGTCCGCCAGGTCCTCCGGGTTTTCCTGGAGGAGCCGTTGTAGGACCATTTGGACCTCCTGGACCTCCTGGACCCCCAGGGCCTCCTGGTCCTCCTGGACCCCCTGGTCCCCCAGGGCCCCCCGGACCGCCAGGACCACCAGGTGTTCCTGGGGGTTTGGTTGTGGTTTTTGCAGGCTTTCCAGGTTTCTTTGTTGGACCACCTGGGCCTCCTGGACCACCAGGACCACCAGGTCCACCTGGGCCACCAGGACCTCCAGGTCCCCCAGGTCCGCCCGGAGATCCTGGTCGCTTTGTTGTTGGTCCCCCAGGTCCTCCTGGACCTCCAGGTCCGCCGGGTCCCCCAGGTTTGCCTGAAAAAGAGGAACGAAGTATGATAGTATTGATAGTTCACTTCCCGTCATTGTCGTTGTCAAAGGTGTATTGTTAAAGAAAAATCACAAAGTGATAATTTCTCTAAGTTTTGTCATAATAAGTTTTTCTTTTGTCTTCTTCGCGGTATGCGATTTCGAGGTATGCATCTTTGCTTCTCTTAGTATAAACGAGTCGTTTTGAGTAAGCTAACTCTGAAAGTAACGTGCAACGTGCTGCCGTTGTTGGAACCCTCAGATGTGTATTTACCATTTATCAAATTACCTATTCCACTGTCATTATCATTAATTTTACCATTATGATTCTGATAATAGTCAGTAACACTTTTATGATTATTAGCAGCCCTTTATTTCTTTTCTCAATATTCTGTGATCTGACCTGGAGCTTTTGTCTTGGGTGTTTTTGGCGTGGTCTTCGCTGGTGGCCCTCCAGGCCCACCCGGTCCTCCTGGCCCACCGGGTCCACCAGGTCCTCCAGGACCACCAGGACCTCCAGGGTTTCCTGGTGCATACTTGGTAGGTTTGGTTTTAGTACCAGGAGGTTTCGTCTTTGGTCCACCAGGGCCTCCTGGTCCTCCGGGTCCTCCAGGTCCACCGGGCCCTCCTGGTCCTCCTGGCCCTCCTGGCCCACCGGGAGATCCCGGGCGTTTCGTTGGTTTCTTCGTAGGAACTGGTTTTGTTGTTTTTGGACCTCCGGGTCCCCCGGGACCTCCAGGACCCCCAGGGCCTCCAGGACCTCCTGGTCCTCCTGGTCCACCAGGGCCCCCTGGGCCTCCAGGACCGCCTGGTTTTCCTGGTGGCTTAGTCGTGGGTGTTGTTTTAGGTACTCCTGGTTTTGGTGGCTTTGTCTTTGGTCCTCCTGGGCCTCCTGGTCCGCCTGGTCCTCCAGGTCCTCCAGGACCTCCTGGTCCCCCTGGTCCCCCAGGACCTCCAGGCTTCCCAGGTGGTGGTTTTGTGGTAGGCCCACCAGGACCTCCTGGTCCTCCTGGGGAACCTGGACGTTTTGTAGTGGGACCTCCAGGTCCTCCAGGACCTCCTGGACCGCCAGGACCACCTGGTCCTCCGGGGCCGCCTGGCCCTCCAGGGCCACCTAAAGTTCAGAATAATTTAGTGAATATTTTGTGCTGTATAATGTATCGCATCTTAAAAGCCAAATTGAATAGAAGAGACATGAACTACCGATATCAGCAAAGGAAAACACGTTAAAACCTCTCCAGTTTCTAGGAAAGTAATGAATAATATTTGAGACATACTTTCGCTTTCATTGCTCATCACTTCATAATCTAATATCTTGATAGTGTTTCGATGCATTTTTCAAAAAATTGGCCATCGTAATTCCATCTCGATTTTTCTCAGCTTTCAATTAATGTTTACTAGCTTCAGCAAAAGATTTAAAACACAGCAATTCCCATAGATGAATGACTACTTGTTCTATCGAAAACACATTACTCCCGCTTGCTTCACCGCCACGGTTTATTTGTTACCTGGTGTTCCTGGTCGTTTAGTTGTTGGTCCTCCTGGCCCACCAGGGCCACCGGGTCCTCCAGGGCCTCCTGGACCCCCAGGTCCCCCTGGTTTTCCTGGACGCTTCGTTGTGGGTCCTCCAGGACCTCCTGGACCTCCAGGCCCTCCTGGTCCCCCAGGTCCTCCAGGCTTGCCAGGTGGCTTTGTTGGCTTTGTTGGTCCTGTTGGTCCACCTGGTCCTCCAGGTCCTCCAGGTCCACCAGGTCCACCAGGTCCTCCTGGACCTCCTGGACCTCCTGGAGTACCAGGTGGTTTTGTGACTGGTGTTGTAGGCTGTCCTGCTGGCGGCCCTCCAGGTCCACCTAGGATTTATCGAAAAGTTGTTAACAGTTGCATCATATTCGAACATTAACGACAAAGACGAAGAATTCAGTCTGACAGGAGCATATAATATACTGCAACATTTTAAAATTTGCTGGCTCGTTGATAAAAGTTAAAAATGTGTCATGGACTGCAGATAGTGTTGTGGATTGCACACAGCTCCCATTGTACCTGGCCCTCCTGGTCCTCCAGGTCCTCCAGGCCCACCTGGTCCTCCTGGTCCTCCAGGACCTCCTGGACCTCCAGGTCCTCCTGGCCCTTTTGGCCCCCCTGGTCCACCTGGTGTACCTGGGCGTTTTGTTGGTTTGGTTGGTTTAGTTGGTACACCAGGTCTAGCAGTTGTTGGTCCTCCTGGACCTCCAGGTCCCCCAGGTCCACCTGGTCCACCAGGACCCCCAGGCCCTCCAGGTCCTCCGGGTCCACTCGGCCCTCCTGGTCCACCTGGTTTACCCGGGCGTTTTGTTGGTTTGGTTGGTTTAGTTGGCACCCCAGGTCTGGCAGTTGTAGGTCCTCCTGGACCCCCAGGTCCACCGGGTCCTCCAGGTCCTCCAGGTCCGCCAGGACCTCCTGGTCCTCCGGGTCCTCCTGGACCCCCTGGTCCACCTGGGCGTCCTGGGCGTTTTGTTGGTTTGGTGGGTTTGGTAGGCACACCTGGTCGTGCAGTTGTTGGACCACCTGGGCCTCCAGGACCCCCTGGGCCTCCAGGCCCGCCTGTTGAAAATAGAACAATAACTTTTTAAACGACATATTCTCATAAATATTATTCATTAACTATTTAATTCATTACGACCCTTACATTCTTAACGTCCGTAACATGATGTGAGCTTCAGGTTTCTTAGGCGGTACTATTATAAAGGTTTACTATTTGGCTGGTTTACAGCTGGTTTAACGTTACATTATCTATATATGGAAATCGTGGCAGCTGCACCACGGCCAATCAAACGGAATGCAGATTATGATTAATTAAATCACATAATTAACAATTTTTTTACTTTCCTGTACCACAATTTGTCAGCAAAACAGCAAGCTTAAGCAAGGATTCTTAAAAGGCAAAAAAACCCTTTAAGTAAGTGTCACCCTATATTCATCAAACGTGGTATGACATAACTGCTGAAATTGAGTTCAAACGTTCGTCTAGGATCTTTTTAATACTATCATTTAACTTTGATTTCCTTATATTTTGTTCGTTTAACGTATAAGAAGACTCGTTCCGTATCACAAACCTGGTCCTCCTGGGCCACCGGGTCCACCAGGCCCTTTAGGGCCTCCTGGTCCGCCTGGAGTGCCCGGTTTCCTTGTGGTTGGCTTTTTCGTCGGCACACCTGGCCTTGGAGTTGTAGTCTTGGGACCATTTGGACCTCCAGGTCCACCTGGACCTCCAGGACCACCGGGCCCACCCGGACCTCCTGGGCCTCCTGGACCGCCTGGGGTTCCGGGGCCTCCTGGTTTTCCAGGCGGCTTTGTAGTAGGTCCTCCAGGTCCTCCTGGACCTCCAGGACCACCAGGTCCTCCTGGTTTTCCTGGTTTCTTTGTTGTGGGACCGTACGGACCGCCAGGTCCCCCGGGACCACCTGGGCCACCCGGACCTATGTAGACAAACCATGAGACAGTAAACACAAGGAGCTTTTGATAACGATTGATAAAATGCAATTGATGTCTGCTGTTGATAGGATCAGTTGATTTTGTCTTCCCGAGAGTCTCAATGTTTCCTGAGACGAAGTCTTCCAACTCTCTGGAGAAGAAACTTACTGTTTCCCGAGGGAGCAGACACTAAGTTCTCTGTTATACATTTAAAGGATGAACATTGTGGATTAGCAAAAAAGGAGCGTTTATAATAGTACAACTTCACTTTTTGTAAACACCGCAAATGTACCTTTAAAAAACCGTATTTTCGTAGTCCTTCTGCTCAACCAGTATTCGATTTCGTCTTTCGATAAAGCAGACGAGCGCTGCTTTTTCGTCACAGGTTAGTCCATCGTGATTTTAAGAATTGGCGGAGAGCTAGCGACAAATTAAAATTTTCTGGAATCCCCGAGGAGTTAAGATAACAAAGCTTAAAAAATATCTCGCTACAATCACCACCGGCCTAAGCGACGCTCTGATTACGTGAAAAAACCTGAAAAATGATCGCATTTAATAAACGTATTCGAATCAGGATACAATTTTGACATTCTGTCAAAATTTAATTTGAGCGGGATACATTTTGATTAATCCGGGCTCACGTGATTACCAATCAACCAATCACAATCTTCTTTAGAGCAAGGGAAACCGCAGGCGTATAGCAATAATCAATATTTCCATGGCGCAAATCAACATGAAGATATATTCAAATGCACGTTACATTCTAAGTGACACATAAGAAAAAAAATAATTAGGAACAAACATTGTGAACGTACAGAGGGTTAAAAGTAATTAAATACGGACAACCGAGTGTTTAATAACCAAGGTGGAGGGCACGAACCCAGGACACTATCGCCCTCTTTAAGTAGCAAATTAACGTTTAACAATTAATATCAAGATCAAAACCTCTGTTACAGTATGATGTTATTGATTAAGATATTATTAATAAGTCAATTAAGACGATATCATTGACACATTACCTCCCGGCCCTCCTGGTCCACCAGGTCCTCCAGGTCCTCCTGGGCCACCGGGTCCTCCAGGTCCCCCAGGTCCCCCTGGTCCTCCAGGGCCATTGGGTTTCCCTGGGGCATAAGGAGTTGGTGTCGTCTTCTTGGTTGGTGCTCTTGGAGATGCTGTTGTAGGACCACCAGGTCCACCTGGTCCTCCTGGACCACCTGGCCCTCCAGGTCCTCCAGGACCTCCTGGACCCCCAGGCCCTCCAGGGCCACCAGGTCCCCCAGGGCCTCCAGGACCACCAGGACCTTTTGGGCCTCCCGGACCTCCTGGTGTACCTGGTTTCTTTGTTGGTTTAGTTGGCTTTGTTGGTGTTCCCGGACGGCTTGTTTTGGGTCCTCCTGGCCCTCCGGGTCCTCCAGGCCCACCTGGTCCACCTGGGCCTCCAGGACCTCCAGGTCCACCGGGCCCTCCAGGTTTCCCTGGCTTCTTTGTTGGCTTAGTAGGTTTGGTAGATTTTCCTGGGACGGGCGTTGTCTTTCCACCAGGCCCTCCGGGACCTCCAGGACCTCCTGGACCTCCAGGACCTCCAGGCCCTCCAGGGCCTCCAGGTCCACCGGGTCCTCCAGGTTTACCAGGTCTCTTTGTTGGTTTTGTTGGTCTTGTAGACTTTCCTAGGAAGTAATTTTACATAGGCGTCTTCACCGCATGAACACATACGATATTTATGGAAGAAATGTTGTGCAACGGCTACAATGGTACTTCCTTCTTTTGTAACTACGATATCCATTTTATTTTCGTATCTAAACGACTCACATTGATATCGTCAAGAAAAATTTGGTATAAAACAATAGTTAGAATAATTGTTATGATACAACGAAGTTGCCGGTCTCCTTTACCATCAGTTGGTAAATTAGCATCTCGCTCAAAACTATAACGATCATTATATATCATAATTTGGCACTAACATCAATTGGCAGCTTAGGTGCATGTCAATAGAAAATGTATTATTCACTGACACTATTTGTCCTAATCCTTGAATTATTTTTTTCAAAGCTTCCATAGTAAGCTCAAGTCGTACCTGGTTTCTTGGTTGTTGGTCCGCCTGGTCCACCGGGACCACCTGGGCCTCCTGGGCCGCCAGGCCCTCCTGGACCTCCAGGTCCCCCAGGGCCTCCAGGCTTACCTGGAGGCTTTGTTGTTTTCCCTGGTCTTGGGGTTGTCTTTGGTCCTCCAGGTCCACCGGGCCCACCTGGACCTCCAGGACCACCTGGTCCTCCGGGACCTCCAGGGCCACCTGGGCCACTAGGTCCTCCAGGTCCGCCGGGTCCTCCAGGTCCTCCAGGTCCACCTGGTTTACCTTTAAAAGCGTGAATGAGATAGCATCAGGCGGTGCTATGATCAAACTGTGTAATAGAAAGATGGGTTGTGAATTCCTCACCTGGAGGATTTTTCGTTGGCTTTGTGGTTGTACCAGGTTTGGGCCCTCCAGGACCTCCTGGGCCGCCTGGTCCACCCGGTCCTCCAGGCCCACCAGGACCCCCGGGACCACCAGGACCACCTGGACCACCTGGTTTTCCAGGTTTACCTGGGCCGCCTCTTTTCGGTGTTGTCTTAGATACTGCAATAACAACATGCGAATTGTTAGAAGTCCATCAGTCAATCTTCAGATGCATAGGATTTATTACTCAAGAGTATCCTTTCTAATGAACGCTTTCCGCTCTACTATCTTTTCGCCAGAAAGAAGGACAGTTGAGGTTTGTGCGTCATATATTCTATCCAAGAGATCGATCACATGATATGAGTAACCTCTACAGGTTTAAAGCTGTAGGTTTTGAAACGAATCCACTCTCGCATGTCAAGGGACTAACAAGTGTAAATATTAGAAGAATTGTAGACTACTATTTGACATTTTGAAGGGTACCATTTAGCTTAACATCTTCATACTAACCCGGTTTTGTAGGACCTACTGGTTTAGTTGGTCCGCAAACACATGGCTGAAGCTTTGAAACTGACAGAGTACCACCCGCACCTAAACAGCAAAAGGTTTACCATTAAACAGGGTATATGACAGATTAGATAAGTTACATAATGTTCAAATTACAGAATCAGAAAGAAGTTGAAGGACAACATCCTCTTCTCTTTCTCCGCCGTGGGCAAGTACATGCTGTCGATGAGTAAATCCGTGTTTTTTGCTTTTTTCTGTCCACGTAAGACCTTGTGTGATGAACGTGTTTTGGAGAGGTAATCGGGAGCTCAAATTTTTGGAAACTTATAATAGGTCAACACATCTAACGGTATAGGACCCTTATAGAACATTGGTTATTTTTAAAATTATTTCTAGATATTTTTTACTAAGGAAGCACAAAGTCGACAGGTATTGTGCAGTGTGATTCAATGAATATAACTGTTATCCAGTTTGAACATTTCATTCATAGATCTACAAATGACCTCAATGTTGCACTCCGCTAGATGATGTACGTCTGTGAGCAAATATGTAAAAAATATCGACTGAGTTGAGACTTTGACTCCAATCAATTTTTTCTCGCACGGTGAGTTCGTTTGGTGCTTAAGCTCGTTGAATACTTACTCAAACAGATCGCTTTCTTAAGATCGTTTGTGATGTACTGTATCTGCTTAAAATCCGACGTGAAAACGTGCGTCTTGTCAGGATCAGTTGCCATCGAGTCCAATTCCTTTGCGTTGAAGTACCTTCCCACTCCTACTGAATAGATTGTGATACCGTTGGCTCGTAGTCTCTTAGAGATTCCATGTACGTCATCGATTGAGCCACCATCAGTAATAACCACCAGTACTTTACGAGCTCGAACACGTCGGCTTCTCGTGAAAAGCCTTCTGTTGGCAAAGCTGAGAGCCCGACCTGTTCTCGCTCCCGTCCGTGGATAGTAGATTGGCCGGTTGAGAGCCGTGAATAACAATGAGTTACTCTGATATCTGAAATTACCGAAAGTCAATGATCAAATTCTACATCTGTCAATTTACCTTAATTTTTTCATAGAAAAATTTTTTTGGAAATAGGAGGGCCAGAACAGGCATTAGATAACTTCCACTGCTGTCTGATGGATAAGTATTATCCACCCTTCGAAATTCAAAGATGGGAAACCAGATATGTAAACTTTAACAAGGAGGTCAAAGATGATCGCTATTTCCATTGTAAGGGGGATCTGTCATACCACTTTCGTTCGAAACAATCATTCTAAACGTTTCAGTTTTCCGTGGAGTGATTGAACTGAACATCAACGAATATTTCAAAAAAAGTCATTCAATTTGGATATCGCGACCAGTGAGTTCAGATTTCCCATCTTATACTGAAAAGCAGCTTGATCACAGTTATAACAGCGAATACATCATTGATTTAAGGATATATTTCACACTAGCTTTAAAGTATTTCCTACACTAGTTTTAAACTATTTCCTACAGATGATAACAGTACTTTTTCATAAGACAACCAACCTTCGGAAATTAAATATCATCTTCGGTCTTGTTCCATACACAGTTAAGGACACTCGGGTATTTCTTTTGGAAATGGCGAATCCCATCGTCAGTCCTCGGACAAATTCGATTAGTTTTCGGAAGTTTCCGACACCGTATCTTTCAACGCTTGAAGAACCATCGATTAGGAAAGCCAGATCTATTTTGGCGCTACAAGCTGAGAGGATGTTAATGCAACATAACGCTGGTTAGATTAAGCGATGTCGTAAATAAGTGTGTGTAAACTGAATTGTGTTTATTTGATTATGAGAAGTAAAGTGTCAACCCAAAGCTGGGAGTGATTTCAATGATCTAAATAGAACCCTTCTCCATTCTAAGGCCAAGGTAAGAGTGAATTTGTATTGAGCGAAAACATCGATCACGCAGTGGATCAGTACAAAATTGAACGATATGCACAGATTGACCTGGTGTTTTAACTGCTAAGTCTTCCTTAAGAAAACACTATTGCTGACTATGAGTTATATGTCACAAATGTTTATGACTAAAATAGCACTTTGCGATTTCTTGAAGGAATATTTCGTAAATATAAATACATGACAGATATTGTATTAATATTTTGGATTTCTTTACCTTGCGCTTTTGTTGGCTTTGCTGCAAAATGGAAACAAAAAAAAAAGAATTAGTCATTTTAATATAATCTCATATGTAGACAGTTTAATTCAATTTGATTTAATATTACGATGTGATCCGACCACTAAATGATTTTTCCACTAATCCTATCTTATTTATTTATGATATGACAGCAGTAGAGATGTCGTGATTATACATTCCTTGTCATTAACACTTTGGTATTACTTACGACAAGGTGGACACATTCCTGGAAGCACTGTTGGAGAGACTGCAAATGATTGATTTGTAGGATTGTAGATGTCATCCTTTTGTCCTTTGTTATCAGGTGCGTGTTGTCCCTGATGGTCATCATCGTTGTCATTTCGTTCATCATCATCTTCATCGTCTTCGTCATCGTTGTCGTCTTCATCATTATTATCATCATCATCATCGTCGTCGTTCTCGTCATCTTTATGTTCTTCATTTTCAGCCATCCGATCAGCTTCTTTCTCTTGTTCCACGGCTTCTTTCTCGATTTCATCCTTGTAATTTGGCTCTTCGGAGGACTTCTGTTGTTTCACATTTTCCTTATCGTTCTCTTTAGTTGGTGTAATAGAATTATTCTCTCGAACATGGTCATTTTCGTTCTCTAATATCAACTGCGTTGTCAGCGGATTCGAGTCATTTTTTTCTAAAAACTCTTTATTTTCGTCAGCATGTTTTCCAGTGCTGTTGTAGAATTTGTCTTCATTCTGTTTAAAATCGTACCCGGCAAAGCTCTGTTCCGTCCCATTGAATTCATGGTAGTCATCTGCGTCTGAAATAAAACCCTTCGTTTGTGGTGAAGCATTCCTGTCAGATCCCAGTTGGTCCCAAGAAGAGACTTTTCTAGTGGAAGCTTTTTCTGATGTAGGACGTGCCTTGACTGGGTTTGCCTTGCTATTCTTGGCAGCAGGTCCGGGATTCGCGTAATGCGGCGAAGTTGGAGCCACTTGAGGCTGAAAGCTCGGTACAGCTTGGGACTGGTAATTAGGTGGGTACCCTGGATAGTTAATGTAACCTTGGAAACCCTTATAACCACCAGTGTCAGGGACACACGGTGGTTTATCTGAAAAAGGAAGACGGAAATATAGTATTTGATTAGAATATGTGACGAGATTCTTAACTCATCTTCCCGTGGCATACGATAACTGGATGATGATATGTGTACGAGGCAAAGTATGTTTCTATTGCGAAATGTGAATAGAGTGAGTTGAGGTGGGGAATATGAAAAATTAATGTAATGTAAACTGGTTTATTTTATAACTAACCTGGACAAACCATGTTTGAAGGACAACATGGCATTGATGAATACGCATATTGCTGTCTTGGAGCACCCCAGGCTACAAATTGAAACGAAGGAAGCTTTAGAGTTAGTCACTTCTTATTCACTTAGTGTTCTTCTAACCAATTAAATGCAGATCATCGCAAAGCTGATGGTGGTAAAAATTAAGCCTGGGAAAAGTCAGGCTCGAATGGGATCCGAACCAAGGACTATTCTGCGATACTGGTGTAGCACAGAAACTAACTGACTGACTGAAACTAACTGAGCTAAGTTTAGGCTCTATTTTAGCTTGTCAATTGTGATTTCTAACCTCAAAGACCTCTCTCTTTTTCCGTGGTTCAGATGTTTGCTTTTCATATATCCTCTAATTCAATGGAAGTTAAGTATAAAATGATACACTTTACTCATCTAATAATTTTCGTACCCAAATTTTGCCTCTTCACCGGTTGTTCATCCTCATACTCATCCTCGTCGTAGTCTGTAAACAAATCATCGACTTCTCTGTTATTGAAATTTCCACTGCTATCTTCACCCCGGCTTGCCGATGTGGGCGTCGTTTTCCTTCCGTTAGTTTCTTTCCTGGCGTTAGCACTATCATCACTTTTGTTCCTATCGTCTTTATTTCCATTTTTCGCTTTGTTCTCCTCATCATCATTTTCTCGATCATTGGAATTTCCAGAGCCAGAGCTTTCGTCGACCTCCTCCATGAAGTCAGGTGTTCCAGAGGTCTCATGGCTAGGGGCTGTATCGACAGGTTTGCTTTCTAGGTCTCCTGCGCCATCATCCTTTGGTTCCTCTGTCACGTCCATACGACCGTCGTTCGCGCTGCCCTCGGCCGAGCCTTTGTGCATGACGTCGGGTGTTAATGGGGACATTTCAGTCCTTTCAGGTCCGGTTTTCATTGTTTCATTCGGCATTTCATTCACTTGGTTGGAATCAGTGATATTGTAGCTACTGTTGGAAACGTTTTGTGCGTTTTCGTAGCTGTCTTTGCCAACATTTGGTGCGAACTGGACGCTATTATTTGCAATGCTTTGAGTGAATTCGTAGCTATCATTGGCAACGGTTTGCGCTTTGTCGTGGCTATCTTCGGCAGCATATTCAACGCTATTATTTGCAACACTTTGTGTGAATTCGTAGCTATCACTGGCAACGTCTTGTGCGTTTTCGTAGCCATTGATGTTAGGACTTTCCACATACTCAGTGCTGCTGTTGTTAGGACTTTCCATGTACTCAGTGCTGCTGTTGTTAGTACTTTCCACGTACTCAGAGCTGCTGTTGGTCGGACTTTGCATATATTCATAGCTGTCATTGGTCGGACTGTGCGAGGTCGCTTCTAGAGAGCTATCTGGATCAAATGATCGGTCATTTTCCTCGGACATATCAGCCACGTGATTAATACCTTCATTTGTGGTATACTCCGTGACGTCACTACTGTTTTTTTTAGCGTCCACGTCACCTATGTCTCGTTTTTCACGGACGTTAGACGCGGAGTGCTCCGACAAATAAAAAGACTTTGATTCAGTGGCTAAGCTCTCTGCCTGCCGCTTTCCCACAAATGAAGGTTTTAAATCCTCCACTGTGTTTGGCTCGTAATACATGGGTCCATAATTGTCTTGGCTGTACCATTCTTGGGCAAAAGAATAGTTTGCTACGAGAAGCAACAGCGTGCTTCGTAGCAGTAATAAAATAATCATCTCAACCCTGCAAAAAAAAAAACGTATTAATGAACATCTTACGATTTTTCCATTCTATCTCTTCAGCTCAGAAAATACAAGCTAAACACAGGGACACATTTTGTGTCTAAAGTTTATGTCTTTGGATCGAGACGACCAATGAACGAAGCGTTAATGATAACATTTTTATATCGCTGTGTTTCAAATGTGACTTCTATAAATCGAAAATCGTCTCCTCTAAACCATTTCAAATACGTCTCTTCTTATTATTTCTTTCTTTTGAAAGTTATGTCTCGGTCCTGACTCAAACCGTACTCACGCCCTCCATGCGGTAAGGTGAGTCCTCTTGCCACTACATGCCGCCCATTAAGATAATTATCAATCTTAGCATAGCAACAAAACACGAGGTAAAAAGACATGGCATTCTTTATTCTCGATGGAAAGGTGTCAAAGTTTTTCATTCAAGGTAAAAATCTAACTCCAAACTTTGTTTTTTTTGTACTTTGCCAAACGTATCAATCACCATCAATTACTCAACAGCTGTTTAGGATTCTTTAATATTTTTATACACAACACTTCTTACAGTGTGCCGATTGCGTCACTTTGCAGTACATCAAACTTGTCTCCTTACTTGTGGAATATAACACCTCAGGTTGTTCCACCTGTTAAGATTTCCCTTTGAATTCAAGAAACCAACTTGCTACAAGTAGAAAGATCCTGACTGACCTATAGGTCTTTCGTGGTTGAGCTTTGGAGTCAACTTTATTTCTATTTTTAACTAAGTATGATCACTTCCCGGCAGACTCAAGGTTTGCGATGGCTAATTTTTGTCATCTTTCTATATCGGTAAACTTAAAGTAAATCATCATTACAGCATAAAATGCTGATAGGTTTTTGTTTGTTTGTGTTAATGTAGATATCTTTTTTGACATTAACACACAGGTTCTCAGTTAGGAGAAAAACGATACAATCTTATAAACGTCAAGGTTAAAACAGGTAATTATCTCGAATCCTCACAGAATTATGTCACCAGTGAAAATTAACTTCATCCTTTCACTATCAGCTACCAGAAAAATCCGAAAATTCACTTTGTAAAAAAAGAAAATGATAAAAGGTGCCACATTTAAGTACTGTAGGATTTCCTCCACAGACGCAAGAGTTCAGACAACATTTCTCAGTTCTATCATTGACTTTATAGGTCACAGGGTTAAATCCCAAGATACAGTTAAAAAAGAAATTGTGTCTAAGATAGAACCTTTCATGCATTGAATTTCATGCAAAATAATCATTTCAAAACTGATCCAGGTTGAATAGACTTAAAAATCCTTAATTTTTCAGAGTCAATAACGGTAGAGAGCTTACGGATCAATTCTGTGTCAAACACCAACTGAAACAGATCGGAGAAAATGTATTCAATTATCCTCGTCATATCCTTTGGGTATCTGAGGCTTCGGAGTAGCTCAGAATAGGAGTCCGGCTTTTTAAAGTCTAAACACGGCTGGTCGACCTGAATAACCGCCCATGGGTAGAATGAAAACAGACTACAATGGCAGTTAGACATCGCTAGGGTCATCTCATTTCTTATCCTATCAAATACGCTTTATAATGGGAAAACTCTACACACGAATATAAAACAAACTCTATAAGACTAACAATCAACTGTTCAACAGAGGATGTTTCTATTTTCCTTTTTTTTCTTTATTTTTTGTCTTTGGCCTGATAACGTAAACTTGTCAAAGGGTTCAAGGTCATCCGTTGTCAAAAAGTCAAAGCAGTGTTTTTATTGCCATATTAATGATAATTTTCCTGTTTCCTTGTTAAGAAAAGAAAACCCACAGTTTAATAGGGATTTGTAGAATATTCAGCCGATTGACTTTTGCTTCTTTCTTGATCGCTGATCTAATTAAAATTTATGCGTGGAGAGACGAAACAAAAGAAGCGAGGATCTTGAGGATGTTGAACCTCAATAGCACAATAGCTTTGATGAATATAACTCGTTAAAATTACAGTCGAGGAGGACTATTCTGCCTTCATATTCGAACTCTGTAATCAGCCAAGCTAAATCATTTTAAATTCTTTACTTAAATGAGCAAAAAGCTTCTTACCCTTGTCTTTCATTAATGTGCCAGTTTGGGGGGCTGTGCTCTTTCGTAAAGAGATCCTTGATGTTAAGTGTAATACAAGATTTACAAAACGACAACTGAAAAATTCATGTCGGTCATGTTATGGTCACGTCACCAGTCTGCAAGCACTGCTCATGCCTTGGATTTCACTGTTATAAAATAGTTTTTATAAAATAACTGGTATGTTGAGAAACGATTTCGTATTATCAACTTGGTGATGGTTACGCCTTTATTGTCTTCATCTGTGCACAAAGAGGTGAAAGACAAAAATGAGAAGCAGCTGGACATTATTTTGCTAATTTGGTATCAAACAGGCCTCTTCTTCTTCAGATATCGTTGTGTTGTTTATAAAAACTATCATTTTGTTTTTGGTGGTTTATTTTAGTACCAGCCTTGAACGAAATAACACGGAAAGCCCCAAGTTAATTTTTATCAATTCCTCTTGAATGTGAAACCACTTACGATATTTGAATATGAAGCGTCAATAAATTGGGCTTATTATCACGAAGTTTTTTTTATGAAAATCACCTTTTAAAACCTTTGATTCTGACCCTGACACCTTCAAACCACCAAATGACCTCATTAACATATATTTAAATTGATTTAATTCATTTCTTGAGGTCCGAAACAGCGCTTTAGTTTCCGGCGAAGGTAGACAGAACTTATCCGGGGCATTGTATTCACTCGCTGAAAAATCTCTTCCAAAAAGGAACAAAGATAAAAAAAATTCCAAAGGAATGTTATCTTCTAACAGATAAGAAATAATTTTCAAAACTTTTATTGCAGTGAATGATGTATAAAATAAAACAGTGTAAGATCTAACTCAGATACTTTTCTGCAAATTAGTTCTTAGATTAAACGTTTCCAATGTGTCTTTCCTCTCAATAATCTTCGTTTTTCCAGTTATGCGTGAAAGAATAGCCTTTGAACCTTTGAACAGCAGTCAATACAAAACTCTTACACGCATTACGAACCATTGTCTTATGGCCCGTTTCGGTACCATGTTAAAATTATTATGACTTATGGAAACGGCTGGCAGTTTATTTCTTCATGCCATATTCAGGATAACGCATTATTAAACAAAGGTGAAAAATTAAAATGGCTGTGCCTTTATAAAAGCCATGAAAACGTGTTCAACAGCGTGTTTTATGCTCTACACGCATAAATTATACAATTCAAGTCATTCCATGAAAAGTTATTCATTGCACGACCCGACCCAATCCTCGCGGTTTTGTTGTTGTTGTTTTTTTTTTTCTCACTCCTCCGCTACTCTTGCGCTTCGTTTCACTGATTGAACGTCTGAACAGGCTAGCACTTTAAGGAAGTTGTGAGTTGCGTTTAACCATGCTTGCTCTTGATAACCCTGACACTATACCATGTCGCGTGACATCATAGGAAAGTCTGATTTTAATTTGCATTGCGTGACTGATAGATTCAACTGCAGAGGCAAAATCAACAGTGTACCACATTTTAATTTTCTTTGTTAATTTTACGATGACATGTAATGTTTGCTACGCTGACATAAGTATAGTTTCTTGATTCAACTCTCTGGCACGTTCAGTTTTAGGTTACACTTGTCACTAATATAAGACTGTCTGACGTGACATCCAAATCCTCAGTTTTCAGAGTTGTCTCTTTCTTTGGCAATTTTCCTGAAACTCGTTACATGTCGATGTGAGTAAGCCCTCTGTGATTCGTAATACAATGGAAACGACTGGTGACAAAAAGAATAGTAGCAGCCTTGACAAGAGTCGCGATACGAATGACTTCCAAGCCGATGCAAATTTATCGTCAAAGGAGAATTACGAATTTGACGATTTGCTCCGTCTGGTCGGCGGATTCGGTCGTTATCCGATGCTGTTGTACGCCTTTATGTGCTTGATGACGGTACCTATCGGCCTTCAACAACTAGTGCTTGTATTTTATGGCGCGTCTCCGCCTTTCCAGTGTGTCGCCTCGAGCACTACCATGAACAGTTCTAATTGCGAGATCGACAAATGTTGTGCCAATTGCACCGAATATGAATTCAAGGGTAAATATACAAGTGCCGTCTCTGAGGTTAGTTTGAGTTTAAAGAAGATTATAACAATTACTACCCTTGAAAATGTAGTCTTTTGGTGAGATTGTATGCTATAGAAATATTTAAATATTTAACAGTAAAGGAAGCTAGATTTTTACCCCGTGATTTGATATTTCCCTCATAGACTCTAACTGGGTGTTATCCAATATTTACCTATATAATATCGGTTTTAATTAACATACACACACACACGCACGCCCTCTATAACAGCAATGTTTTGAAAAAGCCACTTTTGATAAAATAATTGGTTATATTCATTTCATACGACTTTTCCCCACTAAACACCTTTTTTGGAGTACCGTTGTAAAGTGTTGAGTGTATCTAGTATTAACGTTTGCAAGTCTGAGTGCACGAAACAATAAACGACGCATAGATGATATACAGACAGTCAGAAATCCCAAGAATAATTAAGCGTTTGACCTCCAGGGTCTCCATGGTCAAATTTTAGGCAGTGGGGTAAGCCCGCTGGTCTTGTAGCTTGTCGTCCCATATTCAAGCCCTCCGCCCTGCTACTCTCTGGATTTGTTCTCGATTGCTCTGAATTAAGAATTCAACTCCTTGGCGTGCGCTTTTGTATTTAACCAACTGGTCTTCCTCCTGGCTCCTGCCAGTTGGGGCTTTTAAACGCTATGTTTAAGTTTATTTACAATGTTCATGTCCAATTATTGCTTAATTTGCAAACGCATTTAGACTTGTGGAATTCCTCTGAAGAACTGTTATTGTTATTATTCCCTAATTTCCCATTCTAGCCGCACCTTTCCTCTGAAGTTATATTAAAGAATTTGGATTTTCGCCTTCAGACCGATGGATATGTCAGGAGCCCATAGGCTCCTGATGTGTCTATTCTGTTTGCTGAATAATGTCTTGATATTATATTGCAAGTCCGTCCTACTGAAAATGAGACACGACAAAAGAAAGACTTGATTTTAAAAAAAAATCGCTTTTATTTATTTCTTTTTTTGGTTGTTATTTTTTTTTTCCAGTGGGGGTTGATTTGTGATAAAAATCATCTCAAAGCGTTGACTCAAGCAGCATACTTGGCAGGACTTCTCGTTGGCTCCTATGCCTTTAGCAGCATATCTGATCATTTGGGACGAAGGGTCGCTTTTTTCCTCAGTATCGCCTTCCTGGTGAGTGCATCGCGCAATGACCACTTGATTACTCGTTTCACAATCCATCATAAAAAAAAGGAAATAATTTACGCGTATCCCAATTTCAGGCCGTATGTGGCACCGTCTCTGCAGTTGCAGACTGCCTCTCTCTTTTCGCCTTGTTCCGAGTCGGTGCGGGAGCCGCTGCCGCTGGTTGTCTACTCTCCCGCTTCGTTTACTGCATGGAGCTGTCAGTTACGTCAAATAGGACTGCTGCAGGGTTTGTCAGCAACATCTTCATGACTGTGGGTTACGCCATTTTAGCTTTACTGGCCTACCTCATGAGAGACTGGAGACATCTGATGCTAGCAGTGTCGGTACCAGGGGTCCTACTGCTCCTTTTCTGGTGGTAAGTCTCTTATTCCTTGAAAGTGAACATAGGAAATTATATCAAGTTGTGAACCTTAACTGTCATTTTGTAAGCCAACTAAAACCGTATCACTTTGTCTTAATGCGAAAAAGGTGGATTCCTGAATCTCCGCGCTGGCTTGTCGCTCACAATCGTCTGGATGAGGCTCATGGCCTGCTCATGAAGTACGCTACCAAAAATGGCGTCTCCGTTGACCCTAAACAGCTGAGGCACATGATCTCGGAAGTAAGGAAAGCTGATGTCAGGAAAAATGACACCCGAAAATATGGGACTTGTGATTTGGTTAGGACACCAAAACTGAGAAAGAGAATTATCATCTGCTGTTTCAATTGGTGAGAAAAGACGATAGAAAGATAATTTGTTTTGTCAATTATTTTATGTGTGTTTCGGTTGTTTGGTGTGTTTATACGCTTAGATCAATTCATTTTGTGTTTTTTTTTGACGTTTAGGTTTGTTAACGCTCTGGTGTACTTTGGACTGAGTTTGAATGTGAAGAATCTCGCTGGAGACATGTACCTGAACTTTTTCATGTTGATTATCATCGAGTTACCTAGTGCATTGTTGGCCTGGTTTTGTCTTCAGAGGTAAGAACATTTGATAAAAGAAAAGGACTCTAGAGGTTGCAAAACAAAATGTTTTGAAAATAATGAGGTGAAATGATGTCCTAGAACAATATATTTTGGTTTTTCTTGCTGTTTTTAAGAATAATGTGTCAACTAAACCTAAATACACTTCTCAGATCCTTCTTTTGGACAAGGGTCAACAAACTGTTCAGGAAAGCTCTCCGATCAGTAGTAATGGGAAAAGACGATCCGGAAACAAACTGACTCTATCGTCAATGTGTGCCTTATCGACGTGTCCAAAAAAGAAACGTCCTTGAAGCGTTTAGAGATGGTTCAGTTGTGTTATATAACTCAATGTTTTGATAGGTTTGGTCGCCGCATTCCGTATTGTGCCTTCATGCTAATTGGTGGAGTTGCCGGCATGCTGGTGTTAGCTGTTCCAAGCAAAGCTGGTAAGAGGGGTGAATGGTAGGTTGTTGAATTTCCTGCAGACGAGGATATTGATCTAAAAACCACTAATTTAATCTTTTTCACTTCGCTGCCCGCAGTGTCAGTATGACAGTTTCCTTACCAAAAAACTAGTTGAATCAGTTAGCCAGTCAGACAGTCATTCTCGTTTATTAGTCTATCCATCTGTTCAAACTTCTGCCCGTCCATCCATCTTTCCGTTCGTTCGTTCCATCGTTCGTTCGTCAATCGGTCCGTCAGTCAATTAGACAGACAGGCTGTCAGTCGAGCGGAAAAAGGCAGTCAGGCAGACACTTAGTCGTTCAGTCAATGAGTCAGACACTCAGTCAGTCAGTCAGACAGTCAGTCAGTCAGCCACACAGTCCGTCACATAGTCAGTCAGACACTCATTCAGTCAGTCAAAAAGTTAATCATTCAGTCAGTCAGACTGTAAGACAGTCAGTCAGTCAGACAGTCAGTCAGGCAATCAGTCGGTCAGTCTGCCAGACAGTCAGTCAGTTGTCAGTTGGTCAGTTGCAGTCAGTCAGACAGTTAGTCAGTAAGGCAGTAAGTTAGTCAGTCAGTCAGTCAGTCAATCATTCAGACAATAAGTCAGTCAGTGAGAAAGTCAGACAGTCATAACACTCATTCAGCTAGTCAGACAGTCAGTCGGTCAGCCACACAGTCTGTCACATATTCAGTCAGACACTCATTCAGTCAGTTAATCAGTTAGTCATTCAGTCAGTCAGACTGTAAGACAGTCAGTCAGACTGTAAGACAGTCAGTCAGTCAGACAGTCAGGCAATCAGTCGGTCAGTCAGCCAGACAGTCAGTCAGTTGGTCAGTCTGTCAGTTGCAGTCAGTCAGACAGTCAGTCAGTAAGGCAGTAAGTCAGTCAGTCAGTCAGTCATTCAGACAATAAGTCAGTCAGTGAGAAAGTCAGACAGTCATGACACTCATTCAGCCAGTCAGACAGTCAGTCGGTCAATCAGCCACACAGTCGGTCAGACAGTCAGTCAGTCACTCAGGCAATCATTTAATCAATCAGAAAGTCAGATAGTCAGTCAGTCAGACAATCGTTCTGTCAGTCAGACAGTCAGTCAGTCAGTCAGCCAGTCAGTCAACACTCGTTCAATTAGTCAGTCAGTCAGTCAGTCAAACAGCTAGTCAGTCAGACAGTTTATGACTATCAGAACTTAACTCCTAGTCGTTATTCTCAGAATATCAAGCAGTGATCACAACTCTGGCCATGATCGGCAAGTTCTGTATCTTATCCACTTTTCTGACCATCTATGTTTTCACTGCCGAGCTTTTCCCGACAGTTATCAGGTACGTGACAAGTGAATACAACGCCTACCCTTTTCGTGCGATAAATGAAATCTAATTGCAACAAATGAAATAAGCTATTTGTGAAAACTGAAATTTCGTCCCCACAAGTGTTTTTCTTTGCGATCCGCATTTGCACCAAGTGATTCTTCTTTCAGTTTTCTATTTGTTAAAATATAAAATATAAATATATCTTTAGGAACACAGCTGTGGGCGTTTCCTCCATGATGGCCCGTATTGGAGCAATATTGGCACCTTACATAGTTCTACTGGTAAGATATCTATCATCCGTAGCCTTTTAACAACAAGGATAGCAATCCCAAAGTTTCGGGGTTTTAATTGCTAAAATTATATCACCTCTTCCTCTAGGCGGACCTTCCCAATCTTAATAAAACGCTTCCGCTGGTCATCTTCGGAATACTTGGAGTAACCGCTGGCATAGTGGGTCTATGGCTGCCTGAGACGCTTTTCAGTCCCATGCCCCAAACCGTGGAACAGGCGGAGGCCTGGCCTGAGGACTACAAGATTTATTGCTGCAAGCAGCCTGGGCCCAAGAAATCAAACGCAGGGTCGAAAAAAGTCAACACCGGAGAAGAGGAAGGACAGAAACTCTGCGATGTTGAAAGTCAGGTGTAGTGCAAAGGCACAGAACGTAGTTTGCTTATAAAGAAGTGTCTATGATACTTTGTGACGTGCAAAATTGCCTCACATATGTAGAAAGGTAAATCCACCGAATGAGAAAAATAAACTGAAAAGGGCAGAGTTCCTTTAAAACGAGCATTTAATGTGTTTTGTGTGAATAAAGTACGTTTGGATTAAGTCTCGCTACCGATGCGATGATTTTATGTCAGGTTAAAGTGCGCTAACTCTGTGGTGATGGCCCAACACGAGAGGAAAACGCCTTGTGCAACCAGCAAGTGCGTTTATTTTTCGTTCAGCAGATAATGAGCTAGAAATCTCTAACCTTCGGGAATGGTTGGACGTGTAAGGCGAAGACATGCGTGAGAGAGGTCTGTGGGGCAAAAATATGGGATCAGCTTGGACTACAACATGGTGTGGGGCTCGGCAGATAGCTTTGGAAGAGGTGGTGAGTGAATCGATCGCGTTTCTATTATATCGTAATGTATAGTATGCAAATGGTCGTAAAATCGACAAAATCAGATGAACTGTGAATGATCCCCTGAGCATCGAAAGCGGGTGGTAGTCAAAATTTTGGCGATGGAAAAAGAAAAAAAAAACAAGTAGTCTTCCCATTTTATTTCCCACATGAATTGAAACTCGAAAGAATTGAACTACATCATACACCTAAAATATTCCCTAAATATCGTATGAGGTGACTTATAGCTTTGGATAACCATACAAACATATCATTAAGATTCATTATCATTCAAGATGTGTTAATCTTTCAACTAACTAAACATTATCACTGATGCCACTGTTTTCATATGTTGCGTTAGTAAGCCGGGTATTCTGGTTTCCGAAGCTTTCATCTTGAGACAGTGATGAATTTACCACTGCGGAATGAAATTGGGTGTTTGCTCGTCTTCTTTGCTTTGAAACTATTCTGTAGAACGACACCAGAACCAGCGCCATTGGAAGGAGAAGAATAAGTGATACCAGCTGCATGACGAGTAGAGCCACATTAAACGAGCTGTTGGCTTTGTGTTGAATTTCTTGTGACCAATAAATCTTAGGATCTGCAGGAAATTTTTGGAAAAAAAAAGCAAACGTTTCTAGAGGAAAGTTGCGATATTCCGTTACCCTCTGTTGTCATAAACACGCTCTTCTTGACTCTCACGTCGCCTACGTGCGGGGTCATGCACGTCGCTGTTCGTTTCTACTCTCTCTCTCTCTCCAGGGCTCTGAGAAGACTGAACGTTCTTATCGTGGAGTGCGAATTGTTTTAAAATTTAACGTTCTAGAGAACGACATCCCTGAGACCTACAGTGTGCTCTCTGAACTCTTTTACACAGAAGATCTTAATACGGAAAGGGGTGTATAATCATCTAAAATATTGCGTATAGCAAGACAAATGACAATTTCATTAGAGCCAACTCTTCTTTATAGATATGGCTTACTAAGAACTTTAGATAGTGACGGATCGAGGCTATCTACATGAGCACTCACCAACACATACCGCTCCATTCTTTTCAGAGATGAATCCATCTTTACACGTACAAACTATACGATCATTCGATGGGGAACAAAAATGTTGACAGCCACCGTTGTCCTCTGTACACGAAGGCAAAGCGAGTAGTTCTGTTGAGAAAAAAAAGGAAAGGAGTTGACCCTCTTTTGAAATAACATTTTCCTATTACTTTGGAAGGTTATCAAGATATTGTTTTGTTAAGTATTCATTTATTTGGTAATGTCTAAGGCGAGAGTCTTGCATGTGAACTCGGCCTTTGACATGCGTGACTGGCTCCATGAAAAGTGCAAGAATAAACAAATCCTGTGATTTGGTTGGATAACCGACTGAGTAAGCTTTCTTGTAGGCATTCAACGAAGCAAGAGATTAAAACTCATTTTAGTTAAACGACTGTTATCATGGAGATGGGTTATTACTTAAATAGAGAAGTTTACATCTTCACCTTTCTCACAAATAAAAGTTGAACTCCGGGAACAGTTTAAGTCATTCCATTTCACCACACCGTTGCGAACTTCAAGAACATACATCTCTCCACAAAACTCTTCTTGGCGATAATTGTCAGGCTGCCCTGAGTACCAGTCCCGGAATGTCACAGGGGATGCGTCGACCCACAACCACTTCGAAGGATCGGAAGGTGCTCTATGTAAACCGAGCCAAAAATGCCTGCTGTGCTGTTGCGTAATGACGAATTCTCGAATCAGGAAAGAGTTTTCTCTTGCATTGGAGACTGTGACCAGGTGAGCATTATATTTACTGCAGTTGAAAACAGCAGCGCGCCAGTTGAGGGATGACTTTGGTGATAGGTAACATGACTTCTCGAATCTTTTCCAGTTTTTCGGACAACCTTTTGGAATTATTCGAAGAAAACCGTGATGTCAGTATTCGGAGAGCGTGGGGGTAATAAGTGAGCATCGCAGATAGATGCAACGCTCTTGAGAAACCCAGATTTAAAAGATAAAGGGCTGGTCGTATTGACAGCGTGCTCATACGGCTGGAGAAGCTGCTTTATTTCTTACCGATTTCAGTTAAGTCGAACGAAGATTCCTTTTATATTTTGTTAAAATGACTCAATTTATGTCCATGAACGTCTAATCAAATTGAAGGGCCATATTAAAGAAACTTGTTTCTTTCGGAAGCACATTATTGCTTCTTGTTGCTGTTTGCCCTCTAGTTCGACACCTTACTTTCGAAGACCTGAGAATTAGCACGTGTTGCGTTTCTACATTTTGTCAATAAACTCAACCGTCTGCACTTATGCCCCAATGTAGCGGTTCTTTTATATACCTCATGTTTTTGTTGGGATAATAGTAAAATCATTTTACCAGCTGTTGAAGAACGTTCGACCTGTTGGAATTAAAAATGTTTGGGATATGCGCCTTCTAACACGACTATGGATCCCAATTTATCTTGCCCGTCCGTCAAATTTAAGAAGGATTTTAAGCCTAATGATACTTAGTTATTCGCGTTCTAGCATCGAGGAAACGATCAAAACTTACAGAAACGACACTCTGTTGACAGGCATTTGCTAAAGTAGACCTTGTTTTAAACAAAAAATATGCATGCGTTTATCAACGGCGGGTACCTGTCGACAGGAATATTCCGTTTCTTTACTGATCTCACGTGAAGCAATACGCATAAGCTGAGGTATAAGCAGGTATCTGAATAAAGCAACTTACTTACCTAGTTGCTTGTTTAAGCAAAATATCCCTGCTGCATGCAGTATTATAGCAATTCCAACGATATTCTTAAAATTCATCATGATCTTGTTGTATTTATAGCCTCAGTATTAAAAATGAAGGGATGCGTTCATGACTGCTGTTTTCCTGCGTCGTGGAAGATGCGGCTTTCAAAATTATTTGTTTTCTGTAAAAATAAAAAAATTGGCAAGGGATATCTTATTTTACCCTTTGACAGGTGTTGTATGCCTAATAAGGAATCAGGTAGAGGCAGCTTATTTATCATTCGCTAATGAGGTCGTTAACGTGGTGCATCTGATTAAACGAAATAAGCCTCGTTTACGCCAATCATCTTAAATTTGAAAATGCTTTCTGTCCCCGGTATCGTTTTGAAATCGTTTCCAAGAATTGCGCGCACTCTCAACATCACCATGACTGATTTGATAGAGAAACTTTGCATCGGAATCAATTCCGAGTCCCAGTCCTCCGAAGCCGCACCTTTCCCTGCTAGACAGGGTTATGAAGGAAGGCACGGGGAATAACAACAGACACCAGGTCACAAACGCCATATTTCAGCTGAAACAAAGCTAGATATTTGAAATTCATCAAAGCGAAACTTGGAAATTCTTTCCACAGGATTTTCTGCCACTTTTTTCTTGCACTTTTTCACTTTCAAAGTAAAGAGAGCGATATTTTCGAAACATTAATTTGTTGTTTCCCAAGAGGAAGCATTAATTTCATTAAGTAATTTGTTGCAGCTTCCTTATGGAGCAATGCGCAGAGAGTACCTTAGTGCGGGCGCATAATTGCAAGAGTCACGTGCTCAATCATACGATCACCGCACCTCCGCCACTCCCACGTTATAAACGTCATATCAGTTCAATTGTACATAGGGAAGGAGTTTTATCATTTTTCTTTCGCTTTCTCGGACGGTGATGGCGTCGAAATCATGTCTAGTTTTTATTCTTCTCATTTGTTTCGTGTTGAATTCGTTTTCAAAACCGGCTCATGAAGAAAATGGTTTCACATCTTGGGTGATGCGTTTAGAAAGCGACGTACGAAACAGAATATTGTCAACTGGTCTTTGTTCAGTTTGTAAACTATTGGCGTTTGTCGCTCAAATTGCGCTCTTAACAAACAAAATCGAGGCGGACGTGGTATATGAAGGACGTTTGTTATGTAAGGAACTGAAGATAGAGGATTCACGAGTTTGTACCGATGTTATCTCAGAGTTTCGAAACGAAGTATTGACAGTCGCCGACAAAGCGTTTCTCGATCCCATTGAACTTTGTGGAAGTCTGTTAGGTCCTTCGTGCGCTCATGCCAGAGATCTTGGGGAATTTTGGAATTTAACCGTGCCTGGAAATAAGCCGCCAGTTAAACCTGTTCCTCCTCCAAAGGTTGGTTTTTCTACCTCCTAATTTCTTAAGTTGTGAAATATTTCTCTGTGACGGTTTCTGTTTACACTCTCCTAACTTTGGTCTCGTCGTGATTAAGAATTACGTCTCACAATTTCTATTTCCCGCTAAATTTTAATAAAGGTTAGGGGTATGAAAGCCTTAAACTTTTTCCCAAACCTTGCCTTTGTTTGATTTTGCAAGGCTGAACAGGCAAGTAAATGTTCAAACAAGCAAACTGATATGTTGGTCATGTGACAAACAAATCTTCGTCTTGTGACTTGTTCAGATGCGCCGCTTACGTAACGCATCGTTCAAAACAAGATTCAGCTACTTGTTGAAATTTAGCGTTACAAAATTTATTCTGTACTACATACAATAACTATACGACTTCGGGTAACATTAGAAACCCTGAAAGTTTCGTACGTAAAATGGCCTGATCCTCAGAAAACAAAGAGAATTGTCACACTGAAATTAATATCATGGATTTATGATGGATTTATAATTAGCTAGAGATACCGACCCTTTGAACAGACATTGTGAAAATTGATTCAATTTTTTGTGAGATTTCATTTAACTGTATACTCAAGACTGAGATTTTAGTCAAACAAGGTCAAAATACATCTTAAAAATTTTGTCTGATGTAACTAAACATGCTATGCAGTGACTGGCCTCAGAGGCTCTAACACATACAGTGTGTCAGAAGCTTCGAAACCCTGTCTTGCATTGTTTCTCTTTCAAGTAACAAGAGAAGGTTGGCTGTTGGTGGTTATTGAAAGAAGCCACCTTTAATATATGTAATTTTTATTATGTATTAAATATCAGTTTGTGAAGGGAAATCAACTGCTGATCACTCAAGAATGAAAAGCTTATTTTAGTTAGAAATATGATGGGAGAGATTGCTGAGTGAAAGGTTATTGTTTGTTTTCAGCCTGGCTCACCAGTTTCCCGTGTGTTACACTTTTCTGATGTTCATCTTGATCACCTGTATCAAGAAGGGAGTGACCCTGATTGTGGCGAGCCTCTGTGTTGTCGCAAAAATGATAAGCCTCCAGGTATGTTGTGGTATTTCTTATACTCATGATTGCTACAGCTAAGTTCCAAACAATCTCTTAAAGATGAGATAAGTGAAAGCTGAGTAAGTTTACCATTTCTTATAATATGAAAATCAATTTTACTTGTAGCATAACCTACATGAAATTTAACCCTTCAACTCCCATATCAAATTTGTAATTCTCCTTACTGTCAACCATACAATTCTTTTAATGTTAATTCAGAGGATTTAGTACTGGATCAACTTATCCTCAAATTGACATTTTTCTTTATTCTCATCATTTATCTGGTTGATATTGCATTGATATTTTTAGGAGAAATTCTGTCTTGGTCACTCATGGGAGTTAAAGGGATATTAATAATAGTTGATTATGTGATTTGGCACCATTGGTCTCAAAAGGCTTCTTATAATGTAATTTGAGGAAATTCACACATCTGTTCAAAAATGGCAAAATTGAGCCAGAATACAATGGAATTGCCAACTTTGAATGGAAATTTTTTGTCTTCTAAAAGCTCTTGTGTCGAAAAAGACCTATGAAACCTTAAATTGCAAGATGGTCTGTGATTATTATCACTTTGTTTTGATTACAGCACCTGGGAAGCCCAAAGCAGGAAAATATGGAGACTATCAGTGTGATATTCCTGCAATAACTTTTGAAAGTATGTTGCAGCACATCAGCAGTACACATCAGGTGCAGATATACGGAGTTCTTATTAGTGTTTTATCTGTTTTTTTGCTGGGATGTACATTGTCGGCATGCAGTAAACAATTGCTTCCTTTTTGTGGAAAGAAGGCTTTGATAAAAAGAATGATATAGTATTTAAATTTTACATTTTATATGTTTGTTCACCTATCTTTGTTGTTGTGCATTTTACAGGACATTGATTATGCAATTTGGACAGGAGACATTCCTCCACACAACATTTGGAACCAGTCACGTTCAGATCAGGTGATGTTTACATAATGCTCATTCAATAATAATAATGATGATGTTGATGATAATGATGATGAAGAGGTATTACACAAGCTCTATAATAATCAATTGCACAAGGTCAATTATCATCACATGAAATGACAAAAAATATTGACCATGGATAATAATTATTTTTTGTACAGAAAGAGGCAGTTAACTATGCCAGTCAACTTTTAGAGAAATATCTGCCAGGAGTGACAATATTTCCTGCTGTTGGCAACCATGAGGGTGCACCAGTGAATAGGTGTGTTAAAAATATATAAATAACTATTTTTTTTTTTTTTAACTACCAACTTGAAAGGAATTTGCGAATAAAAACTGTGCATTTTAGAGTGCACAGGTAAAAGATCGATTTCATCAGTTCAAAAATAATAACTTATTATTACATACAGTTTTTGAAAATGAAAAAAAATATATTTGTCACTGGTTCTGTTAGGATTACTTGGTATCAATTCATGACTCTATAGAGTAAAATTTTGAGTGCTTAACCCTTAAAGTCCCAGATCAAATGTGCAATTCTCCTTACTGTTAACCATACAATTCTCATGTTGGTTCAGGGAATTTAGTATTGGATCAGTTCATTATCTCCAATTTTGATATTTTTCTTTATTCTCATCACCTATCTGGTAGATATTGTATTGATATTGTAAGGAGAAATTCTGTCTTGGTTACTCATGGGAGTTAAAGGGTTTATTATTCATTGGTTTGTATACTGTTTACAGCTTCCCTCCACCATTTATTACTGGTGATAACTCAAATCAGTGGCTCAGAGATGCTTTAGCTAATGACTGGATCCAATGGCTTCCAAATGATACAATTCCTACAATTCACAAGTGAGTCAATGTCCACACTTTAAACTTTGAAAGAAAAACACTCAAGAGGAAGATGGATACTTTTGCTTAGGATGATAGGAAAGAGAGCAGTTAAGCTATATGGCCAATGTCATAAGAGCTTGGTTAGGTTTTTGTGGTATGAAGTGACTAGGTGTATTGCTACTGCCCTCAGATGAAAGTCCATGAAAAGTTACCCTCCAGAATTTTGTCAAGTTTTCCTGACAGTTCACCTGTACCCATTTACAGGAGGCAGCCAGGATTTTCAAAGGAGGGGTCACACTGTGTCAAACAGAGGGTACTCCCCAGATTGTCATGTTGACCTTCACACTCTGTTTTAATTAATGTGACAAAAGAAAAGGCTTACAAAGAGAGGGTCACAGCACCCCAGGACCCTTATTCCCCTTCCCCTTCCCCCCCATCTTAGCTATGCCCTTTGCAATTTATACTCTTTGGTTGTGAGAGGCAGCAAGTTAATTAGTCAAGTATATTGCCCAAGATCACAGCACAACTACCAACTACATAACCAGGTCTCAAACTCAGATCTCTGGAACCATAAGCATTTAGAATGTTAAGCAACTAATAAAGCAAACTGGCTATCTCTACGCAAAGGCAGATACCCTCAAAACATGGTTTAATCTTGGCAAGGTTAATTACTTTTGCCATGACTGTAATTGCTCCTTATTGTTCTCTACCCATAGAGGAATCTTCTACACAGTCTATATGTCAAAAGGATTTAGGATAATTTCAATCAACATGAACTACTGTAACAATATGAACTGGTATGTCAACTGTTTATCTGCTCAAACCATGTATTTATGTGTGGTATTTATTTGCTGTGTCATTTGATTTTGTTTTATACACACTCAGTCTTGTATGCCATGCATGAAAGACCTTGTTTTTTGTTATTTTAAATTCTATATTAACCTCTTCTAGGTGGCTTTTAATTGATAACTATGATCCTGCTCATCAACTGCAGTGGTTGATAGACACTCTACAAGAAGCTGAAGACAATGGTGAAAAGGTTGGTTTTATCTGAGAGAGAGAGAGTTAAGCTTTTAAGATGTGAGTGACATACTGTGCCACACCTTCTTTTTGTAATACTAGTACATCATATTCACCAGTTTAGTGATGAGTATATATGACTTATTAACCAGAGGATGTTATGTCGATTGTCACATTTCTGATTTGCAGATCTTGATGACAACCAGTAGGGTTAAGAGGGACTACTCTGGGGGTTGGAAATAATCTGAAATCCAAGCTGATCTTTTTAGATTGGTTATAATTGTTGATAATGGGTTTAACAAGAATATCTGTAGAATACAAAAATAGGTTAGTAGCAATCTGAAATAAAGTATAAAGGTGTGAATCAAAACTCTCTTTATGAGAGCACCATTCAGCTGGGAAAAAAATAGATTGGTGTGAATGAAAAAGTTGTGAAGCAACTTTTGAAATTATATTTGTCTGCTTAAATTTTAATTTAACCTTTTAAGCTTTACTTTAACAAGATTTAACAAGCATGCAGATGTCTGCTACTTTGAAGGAGCTGAATAGATATGGGTATAAAGCTGCTTATATGATTTCAGGTTCACATTATTGGCCATATTCCTCCTGGCAGTGGTGACTGTCTGACGCCTTGGAGCTGGAATTACTACAAGATTATAAATCGTTATGAGAGTACGGTCACAGCCCAGTTCTTTGCTCATACACACCTTGATGAGTTTGAAATCTTTTATGATGAAAAGACTAGGAAAAGACCCACAAAGTAAGAGTTATTATTATTACTTTTAAGCAATTGCCTGCCTTTTTTTAAATACATGTAATGCATGGTGCAGAGGAACAAAAGTTTGATAAATACTTGAAAGTATAATGTCCAGAAAAATGTATTAGAAATTGGAGAGGTATTCATAAATGTTTTACAAGGAGTACACCTATGTTTAAATCTAAGGTGATAGAACTGTCAGTAACAAATCACTGCAGACAAGAAACATCTGTTTGTGAACATTTGTCGTTCCTGCTCCAATTGTTGTAACCATGAACATACCAATTCCATCATAAGTAACTCCCAGTCTACTAGTCCTGTGTCTTTATACAGATTTCCCTACCCACCTGCCCCACCATGCTCTGCTGATTAACCCAGATTTCAACTACTGAACTCTGGGCATTCAGGTCAAATTTTTCCAGATATGCAAGCTGTAGTGAAACTCTGTTGGTATGTTTATCAAACCATGACAACAGATATAATGGACATTTCATGGAAGTGTGACTTGAGACAGAGACAGTTAATGGTTGTGCCTGTTTGGCTGATTCATAATATGTTGATTATTCTTGACAGCATTGCCTATATTGGACCAAGTGTTACAACTTACCAACAACTTAACCCTGGATACAGGATTTATGAAGTGGATGGTCATTATGTAAACAGTTCTAGGGTAAAATGAACTCTCCATTTTTTATTACTTTTTTTGTGTGTGTGTGTGTGTGCCATAATTAGCACCACCCTGTAAATGAGGTTTCCCTTCCCCCCTTATTAGTCATCATTTAAAGTAAAAGAATCAGTCTATGTTAAAACATTTAAAGAATGATATGTATGGCCATAAGTTTGGAAAAATTTAACAAGTGCTATCCCTTAATAAGGCATCCACTTCAATAAGCGCTGGCTTGTTACCTAAATCGGAAAGTACTGTACTTCCTTGATTAAGAGCAAATTTTGGCTAAAAGGAGGGGTGCTGATTGGAAAGAGGTTGCTGAGGAGGGTGGTTATTATTCTCTTGTACTGATTCTGCTTTATTTGAAGCCTAAAAAGTGATAAATGAAATAAAGTGCCAATAGAAACAGGTTTTCCTTGTAGCTATATTATTTAAGGTGAGAGAGGAGGAGGGGGGGAAACTAATTCAAGAGAGCTGCCAGTTTGTTATAATGACCAAGGGAGTGGGCACCTATTTGAAGGAGGCTGCTTATCAGGGCGTGGGTGCTTAGTCAGAGAATACGGTATGTACCCTGGGCACCATATGAAAGATTTATTGTGCATATAATATGTAGGAACTTGATGTGTTGGTGTTTCTTATGTCTCTACATCAATTAGGTACAGTACTGTATTCCTGGGATTTGCTCTTCCCACTGACCTTGATTTTTTTTTTTTTTTCCAAAGGCTATCCTCAACCATGAAACTTACATTTTGGACTTGGTGGAAGCAAACAAGGGGAATGTAAAGTGGAAATTGGAGTATTCTGCCAAGGTATAGTCCCAAGAGAAATTAAAAAAGGTGGTGGTTATTTATTTTGGCGAAGGGGAAATGAATGTATCATCTTGATGGCAACTCTGGTGATTGTAATTATTTTCTGTTTTTTTATTTGAAAAGGAGGCATATGGAATGAAATCACTTTTGCCTGAAGATTGGGATGACTTAGTACATCGCATGGCAAGCAATACAACTTTGTTCAATACTTTCTACAAGTAAGGATTGTGGAACAAATCATGAGCTGATTATTTTTCAGTAGTCAAAATTCTTGTTTATATGTTTACTTGCTTGTGGGTACAGATGTTTTCAAGGTGCAAACCCAAAAGGGGAGTGGAGAGTTGTTTCCCTTTCAAGAATGTAATTTCTCTACACAGTAATATTGCTGAATCAAAAGGAAATAATGGCCAACCTGAGAAAGTTTGATTGTGAAACAATTTCTCCTTGTCAGTACTGAAGAAAATGTATAGAGAAGAGTATAGAGAATATGGATACTGATGCCAGGGTGTAAAGGTTAAAAAAAAGTATGCCTGACTGTGTTATTCAAGTTGATTGTTTGATGTCAAAGTGCTTTAGCAGTAATGCTATTCCTCTCTAAAGTCTCTGCTTGGGATCCTTATAAGTGATTTATATTCTGGACTTTTGTTAATATTTTTTAATATTTGTCTAGATATTACACAAAATCTGCACGAAATGATTCATGCGATGATAGTTGTCGTAAGTACACACTCTGCCGCATGATGAGTGGACGTTCCCATGATGACAGTGCCTGCACCCTTAACACAACCCTAACACAAGAGGAGAAGCATTCCTTTGATCAATCTCTGGATTTTTGCTGAAGTTGGAATCTCCCTAAAAATTATTTGGCATTACAAATAAAAGGATAAGATGAACTTATTAATTTAAGTGTATAAAAAATGTAGATGGCATGGTACTATTTAGCTTAATTAATTGTGAATTAATTATTTATATTACAATTGTTCTTTCATTGGCTATGTGAAGTTGTGCTTTTATTTTGAAAGTTTTCAGTTTCTAGTTGCACTCTCTTGATCCAAATGATAATAGAAAAAAGATATAGTAACATTTGAAACTCGCCATCTTTTAATATGAGGGCAATTTTGTATAGAGCTCATTAGAGGTATTTAAAGCATAAATGAACCATGGTTAGTTGAACCCAGTCAACTACAAATTTGAACTATTTTTTACATAGTGTTATTAAACGTTTCTTATTCATTCGTATGTCATAATGAAAATAAATGAATTTTTCTTGGTTAAATGTGTCATGATCAATCCCTCAAGGTATGCAATTAGTATTAAAGTAATAAGATGTTTGTTTGAGTGAAAAATAAAGGGGTGCAAGACCTTTCTTTAATCTAAAGGAGCTGCAGTTTGATGAAGCATATATTGATTGAATGTCACTGGAATGTTTCTTGCGTTGTTGTCTCTTTGGTTTAAATCACATGATATAAGATGCTGCAAAAATGTTTTGTCAAGAGTTAAACAGCATGTTATGTAGCACATGTTCTATATTTAAACCTCTTCTCTATAAAGGAGAGTGACCATTGAAGAAAATGGGAAGGGAAGGGAGTAATATGACAGATTTTTTTCAAAGGCTGGAACATTTTTTACAAAAAAGAACAGCCTTTTCTTTAAAAGCAGCATCAACCTTGTGAGGGGGTGAAATGAAACAAACAACTCAAGAAGTAGCTATTCAGGAAAGACTTACATTATAACAGCTTGACCAGTGAAACATGGGGTAAATCAACTTACTGAGTCAGGAGAAATTATAGTGCAACAACTTGCCTTTCAGTCAGTGGGACATTGCTTTGTTGATACAGAATATAGTCAGTCAGTAATTAAACAGCCACTAACTCAGTCATTTAGGCAGTTTGTGACCCACTATATCTGCAAGTCATTCAGTCTGCCAGTCAGTCAGTCACTTGGTCACCCAGTCTATCAAGTGCTCAGGTAGGCAGTCTCTTTGTCAGTCAGACAGTGAGTCAGTCACTCAGTCAGGCGCTCAGTCCCTCACCTTGTCACTCAGTCGGTAGGCAAGGGGCAACTCCACCCCAGTCCGCTCTCCTCCTTCCCTTCCACTTCAAGGTTTCGGATTCCTCACGACGAGATCATGTAACAGCTGTGAGGATTTTGCACAGCTGTGTGGATTTTGCACTGTTCTTTTGGCTATGAGGCACATATTTGATATTTTCGTCATTGAAAATGAACGATCAACTCTCTCTTAAAGCTTTGCATATCATTTTGGTTGGAGAGCACTTGAGGAGCCGGTTGCACAGCGAGCAAGAGCCTCCAATGATTCGAGACAGGCGATATCACCTCCGTATGTATCCTTGCTGTTTTATAGGTCGAGACGTTGTTGACTGGTTGATGAAAAATAGCGACGCTAACAGCCGTGCAGGAGCTGTACAATGCATGGATATTCTTTTGGAAAATGGAGTAATTCATCACGGTAGGTCTAAAAAAAAAAAGCTGCCTCGGTACGCTCAAGCGCACCAGCCCATGACGAATTGATAATTAAAGGTTAAGCTGCTAATTAATCCTATACTTTCACACATTACATTTTCTACAACAACACAGTACTTGTACTTACATTATTTATTGCATTTTGTCTGAGGGAAGAATCTATTCACGCTATTATCGCTATGTTAGCGATTAGTTAGGGCGGCTGTAAACGCTCTCTATTGATAGAGAAAGCTCTTTAGTGACGTATCGCGCTGAGTGGCTTAAATCCAGCTATCTGCCAGAACAATGCAACGAGTTTCGGATGAGCGTCTTTTTCAATGTTTTCACCTTTGCATTATTTCATACAAAGTCGTTATGGAACAGGAGGTTTGCTGTTTTTACCATATCTTGGTTGATTAACGCTCTATGTATTTATAGAGCACTTCAGCTAAACTTAAGTCTGACTTAATTGATACGCCTGACACAAGCCTGGCTCCGGTTGTCATTTTGTCATTTGGCGGTAACGTTCGTGTTGAACTTAATCTTTGCCAAGTAGCAATTTGACATGATACTTACTAATACTGCATTCACAAGGTTGGTTAAGATTCTGCAACGATCATCTTTAAGAGGGTTCCAATCGAGTTCACCGTTTAGTCGTAAAAAGCGACAAATCTCAACTATTAGTCGTAAAAAAAAAAATTATAACTGTTAAAAATTTTTCTTTTTATCACAAAGTAATGAAGTCTGTTCAGTAATAGATTGCAGAAGACATCAAAATGTGGAAATTGGAATAAACACTTGGCTGCGTCTCATGCACCACTTTCTTGTTCTTACCACATTTTCAGGTTATCTATGATAATTATTTTACTGAAGAGACCCACGGCAATATGTAATCTAGTTGGTTAACACTTGATGGGTGGATTTGGGGCACCAAGTTCCCATGTCTTTCGACACTACTTCAACGATGCTGACCACCAACCAACAATTGTCTCCTGCAGTCTTAATAAGATTTTACTTTTAAAGACTCTTCTATCATCCGACTCATCTCCTTTCTTTTCTTCTTTCTTTGACAGTTGTCGATGACCATCACTTCAAAGATGAGATGTTGTTTTACAGATTTCGAAGAGATGACAATACAGTTGTGAAAAACTCTGACCTTGATGTAATATATAAGGGTTGTGATATTTACTACAGGTAAATTTAACGAAGGAAGTCTTATTTATTTTTATGCTTATCATTTCAATTTGCCAACCACTCAGGTCTCTCTTCTAGAATTGAAAATGATTAAAGAAAAAAATAAAAACTGCTGTTACAAGCGTTTGCTATTACTACAATGGTAAAAACTAATCTCCTGCAAATGTCCAGTATGCCTCAAGAATATGCATTCAAGATGAGTTACCCCTTAATTTTAAGTGAAAATCATTGAATTTTGTCTTCATGTTGTAATGTTGTTTTCATGTCCCAAACAAAGGTGACATAGTTGGAAGGGTGTCTAACATCATCCACCTGAAACAGTAAATCTCCACCCTTAGGGTGTATATATAAAAAAAAGTGGGTCTTTACTGGATTTTGATATGTATGTTTATCTGTGGGATTTTTTTCTTATACCTTTTGATCATTATTGATCCTTTCACTCTCAAGATCTTAAAAAGAAAAGCCAATCCCATTTGTAAAAGCTAACCTGGAAACAACAAGATTAACTAGTTTGTGGTGTTGATGTTAGCTTATATATCCTAACCTTTGTTTTAATAGGTCAATACACAATTAATTTGTTATAATCTACCATTTCTGAGTCTCATGGTAACTGACTCCTTACTTCTTTTTCTGTTGCAGGGCAAAGAACGAGGACAGCCATTTAATCAAGTTACGCCCTTGTCATGACTTTGTCTTTAGGAACTGTTTCACAGGATATGAGCTGGTAGACTGGTTAATACAAAAGAGTGAAGTTCCTGACAGAGCACATGGAGTTGTACTTGGAAGAGAGCTGTTAGATCAGGGAATTATTAAGCATGGTACTTTAAAAAGACCCAGAATGCTAGCAGTTCATTAAGCACTTGAGACAAAATGTACATTTTAGGCCTTTTATCCTTTTGACTACACTGAAGCATCTAATTTCTCCTTACAATATCACCCCTGAATCAACAATTAAGATCAGGAGAATAAGGGAAATGATCACCAACTAAAGAAGCTCCTGATTTATAAACAAATTTACTTTGTCAGTACCACCAACAACAACAACAACAACAAACTTTATTTATTTTAGCAATTAAAATACATATCTAACAATCCCTAAGGGTAGTCTGTGATGCATACAACTCTAAGAGGGTCCAGGATTATGAAAAGAGAAGGGCTCAATGTAGAGCTGAACAGAGGAAAACTGTGGATATACCCATGTTCGGGCTATAGGTGTATTATTATTAACAATCCCTACCCACAAAATAGAAAAGCTGATCGAGGTGGGAGAGAAACTAAAACAATCATTAAAATTAATTCTTCAATAACAAGTTTGACTGAACAGAGGAAATGACTAGGAGAGCATGCATATACACAAACGATGAGAAACAGTACAATACATTATAGATAAGCCAATTAGGTATTACATATTACAACTGGAATAAAATTACACACAAAAAACAACAATAACAAATGAAACCAAAAAGATCATAATTTTCTAAATTTATCAATTAAAGTATGGATGTCAACTAAGTATCCTCTTACATCAAAATGTTCAGCAACTGTCTATGCAATAGTCTTTTAAATTTTATATTTAGGGAATGTATAGAGAACATTATGGAGAATATGCATGCTGATGATAGGACTTAAAGGGTTAAATTGCTAAGTTGGTAGCCTGTGTTTGGTGGCTATATAGCACTGAAACTGTAATGTTTTTATTACTTAGTGTTTGCATGTTGTATGTGATCTTAAGTTAAAGTGGGATATGTAAATATTGCACAGAGTGACCAGCATCTCATTTCTCCGTACATTAATACTGCTCAATCATTCATTAAGATCACAAAAATAGAGGAAATGATCATCAACCAAAGAAGCTACAATTATGTAACAAATTCTCCTTGTCAGTACCAAAGGAAATGTATAGAGAGCAGTTTGGAGAATATGGATACTGAGGTTTGGGTTTAAAAGGATTAATTGCCTCTTTGGAAAAAGAGTGAGCTTTTTGCCTGTTTAGAGAGTCTTCTGCTTCCTTTACAGGGCAACCTATAAACTTTAGTATTCTTTCTCTTTCAGTTACAGATGAATTTCACTTCCGTGATGAAAATATCTTTTATCAGTTTATGATTGACAAAGTAGTAAACAAGAAAATGGTGGACGCACTGGGAATTGTTGATAATAAGCAGCCAGGCTCACCAAGAAATTTCAGGCGGAGGAATCTACCTCCTCTGAACACACAAAGGTCCAGCCCAGTTCCTTTTGCTAAAGAAAGACCAGAATTGGATGAACAATTTGGTGAGGAGAAGGGAATAATTCCATTAGGGCAACTGTTGAACCTAGACATTTCTTCTAATTTTCAGTTCCTTTGTAGCAGAGTTGTCCAAAGTAATGAAATAAATGTTTGAATGAGGGAAGGGTGCATTTTCCCACTCCAGTTTAACAACTATGTCACTATTGCACTGGTATTTGGGGTTGTTTTGTTTTTTTGAAACATATTTGCTCTACCATCTAGAATTGATTGGCTCAGGTTCTTAGAGCTTTGGTAGGGTTGGTTTTTCTTTGAAGTTACTTATTCAGTTTTAGACAAACATGATATAAATATCCTAAAATTTTTCCTGAATTGTTTAACCTTACAAGTAACTTTAA